ACATGAACCGCTACTAACAATGCTTACCGTGCGATTTAACGCATCCACTCAGTTTTCGGGGAGGACCAGCTTTTCTAAAAGGGAGGATTAGCGAGAAAAGAGCAACTCACCGAGGAGATCATCACCCACATTCATCATTACTGGTTCGGTAGGGGAGCGCAGCAAAGTCGCGCGGTCACTTGAACCTCATTCTCTTTTCCAAGTAATAGCGTTGGGGCGCGCTCTGATGCGTACCGACGATCGCGGCGATCGCCACTGCTGTCGCGAAGTATGAACGCTGCCTCAAGGAAAACTATGCTCTCACGGTACCGCCAAATGTCACATCCACTCGCAGGAAAGGCTGAAAAAGTTGGGCGCATGGATTGCGCATGCAGTCGCTCTTTATCGAGCTCAACTGTTCGCCCAGATATGCACATCTGCGAGGTCGGAATCTCCATCTTTCAACCACTTGAACCAGGTTTGAGCCATACAGTGCACTCGGGCCTACTTCTTACCGCTCTTCAGTTGCTTCTGCAGTTTCAGCACTTCGATTAGATCAAAACGATGGTGTCTAAAATGGAACTCTGGCAACTGGGCGCCCCATTTTCTTTACTGTTGTGTCCGGAGAGTAGATGGCAGGAGAATCGGCAGAGCATATTTATTGGGAATGAAACACACTTGCTCGCCTGGGATACTAATTGTTATTGTAAAAGAAGTTATATTCACGCTAGTTCAGTAGACCGCTTCGAATCTAACAATCACGTGAATCAAACCAGTATAAAAACTACACGGGGTGTCATGTAGAACATGGAATCCTGTATTCATATTCTATAGAGGGTCGAACGCGTGTCGCGGCTTGGGGCGAGGGAGCGAAGCTGCATTTTCTGTTTGCACCCTCATTTGACGATTCATTATCGACTAGCAAAGGCTAAGCTAAAAAATGTTCTTACGCGGGAAATTCGTTACAGGTGCGTCGTACGGTTTCGGCGCATGTTAAATCGACGGGGGGGCGGAATATTTGATTATAATGCTTCCCTGGTCGTCCAGTTTAACAAATCACTCTGGTAAAACTTGTGTAACGCTTGGGAAAGCTTAAAGCAAGATAGTATAGCACATATCCTGAAAAGTAGTCAAACTCCAAAAAAGACACCGTCGATGGGTTTCAATCTATGAAAAGCAGGGAATGCCCCCCCGTAAGATAATACCTCTATTAGTAGAGTAAAAGACCGCCTATGAGCTTGTTAAGCTGGCAAGCAAGATGCGTCTTAGCGTACCATTCTAGAACGTAGTCACTCGAAAAAAAGAACACCTCGATGGGTTGCCAAATCTATGAAAAGCAGAATGCCCCCCGTAGATAAACAGCGCCTCATACGTAAGGTAAACCCCTATAAGCTTCGCAGTACCATTTGGCGCCTCTACCAAGCCCAACTATGTGACGCTGAGTGACGGGTGGTTTGTCGGCTTTCGTTGCTACGCCCGTCCTCTGGCACCTCTGGGTAGGGTCTACTGGAGAAAGGCGGCCTTACATGAGATGAGCTTCTCTTGGACGCAACAGCCTCCAGCCGAGAACAGACCAGAATAACGTCCTACTATTCGAAGAGCTATTAAGCCCAACTCAATGCATATCACGCGGCGAGTGCTAGTTGGTCCGAAACCCGAAGAAGCAGAATAAACTCCCTTAGAAGCATTTAATCGGGAACAAGCAACTTCCTTTCATCAATGCGTACTGTAAGAAGAGAGGCACCTCTAAGTCCCTTATCTCCCTCTGCTCTCGCAAATTTAGTTCGTAGCATAACCCCCTGGAACTGACGCAGTAGTGATAACGATCAGACATCAATGGTGACAAGACATTTGGCTCAACTTGCTATTTCGTTTTTTCAGGAGTCTCCTCCCAGGCCAGAGAGCAACATTTTTGCATTAGATAAGCAGGGGACAGTTCCTTTTAAGGCACGCAGAGAAATTTCCGAAACACGAATCCTCCTCTTCCCCTCTTCCAACCGTTGTCGCGCCGTCGACCCCATTAGGGCAGAGGGGGTACCGAGAGAGGACCAACATGCGGAGTAATTTTCTCCAGGTCAAACAGGACCCCTTTTTCCAGCGACCAAATGCGACCACCCGGCTGAGGATCCCCAACGTGAGAAGTGCTCCGACTTCTTCATCGAAGACCATTCAATCGTTGCGCGAATCAATGTTTATCGACTTCTGGCTCATGTTTGAGTTTCGGCTATGAAACGCATTGCTAGCAGTTGCAAAACCAGCACATATGCACAATCGGTGGGTAGGAAAGTTACCAGGTACAATCATTGGGTAGGAAAGTTACTCCTGGTCCGTAGTATATTCATTACTTCCTTATTGGTCACCAGGTGAGATAACGCATCCTGTCATGCACACAATAGCCCTCATTGAAAAGAAGTACTGACTTTGTGGGACAATAGGTCCTACTGATTCTGCAGAAATCTATCCATCAGTTCATGCCCTGCCATGGCCTACCCTTCCGTCCGTTATTTCCGCTTGATGACTCTAAGAAATACCTCCTTCCCTTACAACTTGCAAATTGGTCATTGTGTCTTATATCTCCCTAGCCGCCCAAGTCCTACCGCTGCATACATCTGTTTCCCCTGGAATGCCCTGCTGCTGCATGCAACCCTACACAGGACACATCCTGCCCTATTTCTTACAAATTTATTCCAAAATACAAAATTCTTCAACTTCCCCTTCCCAGGAAGGAAGAGTTTCAAAGGCAGATACGGTCCCTCTCTCTAGCGACAAAATACGATCCTCTCTTCTTGGGCCAGAAGTAAAGCGATAAAATCGTTTGCTGCTGTTCATGACATCTCTGGGAACATCCACGATTCAACTGAAATCCTGGCAGTTTGGTATGGGTCACCGCTGATAAGGGGATAAGAATGAGTTATACTCAAACTACTGGGAGTACGACACTTGGGTCATGTCGATCGCAATATGGCTTTGAGCGTTCGGAGCGAAAGTTCCCCTGTAAACTTGTCGCTTCCAACTCTTATCAGTTGTTATCACTTCCTGTCACCAACCAATGTTTTCGTCACAAACACTACATCACTTTTTTGGAACATTTTCCTACTGTCGCCTGGGATTCTAATGCCAAAAGCGGTCAAAAAAATCCCCTTTGCTTATATAACTCCCAAAATAGGGCTAATGCGCTTTTATGAGGTCAATTGAATCTAATATCAAATCCCCCATTACCTGAAAATCGACTTAGAAAGCTTGCTGGTTCTGCTCAAAACATGAGGGCGCATCATCAGTAAGGGGATACGATCTTTTCGATTATTTGATTGTGAAAAGAATTACCTTGCTCACTCAGGGCGGATTTGGTCTACCAGCAAGTGAAATCGCTTGTCAAGCTCTTCACGATGCTGTGGCCTAACCCTGGATAACGTCCAACCCCTCAGTCCCTCTGGAACCAGCTGATTTCCACCATATTCGCCGGGAACTATGAAACCCAGGTTCTTCTTCATATAGTTCTCATAGGTCATCCTCAAGCAGAATAGCATGCGGTTACCCAAAGGTTTACATGGAAGTAGCATGCACGGCGCATCCCAGTAGGGTCCATGGTCAGATTCGAACAGCTTTAGTAAGTGCAATGCCCAGTAACCATCAGCCTATGTCTACAATTCCATATACAAACCAGTTGCACGCGTCCCACGCCACAGATTGATAGGACAGCACACGTGGGTGCTCGTGTTACGCTCCAGACCCCATTGATCTTCCCCGACTGCACGTGCAATAGGGGTAAACGAGGCTGTCACATGTGAGCTAAACTGAACAATATGGAGTGCAAACCAAAATTATTGGCAGGCAGCCCAAAGTCACTCGCAGGCAAACAGGCTCAACGAGGCATTTAAAACCCCATCCCCTACACACGGTACAGTCGTTGTACGGGATCCATAGGGTGACGTCACTGAAAAAGAGTTGAATCGGTCATGAAAAAAATCATTGTTGCTGATCCTTCCCGAGTTTCAGTAATGTACGCTCCCCCATAACTGTCGCGTGGTGTCGCGACGAAATTGCTATTTCTGGTAGTTGATCTAGGGGCGTCTAGCCTCTCCATTACCCGCCCGGTGTATCGCAGAATTCTTGCACATTCGAAGACTTTTGCTGCGCGAACCCCTTTCGGTGCAGGGAAAGCTGGTCCACAGAAAGCGGAGCCCTTTCTTCCTGGGCGCTGCGGCCAGGATCCACATCGTTTTCGGCATCTCCCTATTTCTACAAGAGTCCGTGCTCACCGACAGCGAGCTTCTCCCTCTCCCTCCTTCCTTATTACTCACCGTCAGCCAGCTTCTCCCCCTCCCTCCTTCCTAAGTACCCATTTTGAGAGGTCGGACCCTCCGTTCTCAACTTTGCAGCAGGCTAATGTGATTGGGTCCTCAGTCTACTGCTGGCAACCTGCCAAAACTATCCGTCCGTTGTTTCCACACCTTCCAAACTCGACATTCATCATTGAACCATTTCAGGCGATGACGCGGTGGGGAGGGGGATGAGGACCACTCGCTTCCGCTAGTCGAGACTTTAGGCGACTCTAGTCGTCTATGCCCTGAGCCCGCATTTCTGAGGTAGTGATAACTGGCACAACCCCCCCCCCCCGCACAAGCTACGTTGGTGCCTCTTCCTAATGTGGGAGTACTGATGTTAAGGCCCCAAGATAGCGTAAACACATGATTTCATGCCATGTGACACACCCGACAAGACTGGCTCGTGGAAACTTCAAAGAACGAGAGCCGAAACCTGGAAATCCCAGGACTCGAGAGGACCTTCTGCTAGCAGGACTTCGTATATTTCCTGACACATAGGAAACTCTTAACGGATTTATTTTAACACTTCGAACTGCAATAAATTTTTCACCAATGATTACAAGGTTCCGAGACACACAAAAGGAATGCTTCTAGTCTCGTCAAACGACTTTATTACAATATAAATAAACAAGAATAATACATACATGGGCAACAAGGAGAAGCCCTCAAAATGGAATTGATACAATGAGATTCATTTTATTCTTTCTCACCAGTCGTCTTCTTCGGTAGCAGTACAGCTTGAATATTGGGCAGCACACCACCTTGAGCGATTGTGACACCAGACAAAAGCTTGTTCAACTCCTCGTCATTGCGGACGGCCAACTGGAGATGGACGTGGGTTGATTCTGGTCTTCTTGTTATCGCGAGCAGCATTACCAGCCAATTCCAATACTTCAGCAGCCAAATATTCGAGAACAGCAGCCAAATAGACAGGCGCACCACCACCGATTCGAGCAGCGTAGTTGCCCTTGCGTAACATGCGGTGCAGACGACCGACGGGGAATTGCAGACCTGCACGAGCCGAACGAGACTTGGCTTTTCCTCCAGATTTAGCCTTGCCTCCTTTGCCACGACCAGACATGACGAATTACAGCGAAACAACCGATGAAACGTAAGCGGAGAATGGAAATGTTTATATGAATCGGCTGCCGTGAATATGCCCCGCCCTCGCGAGGAGGCGGAGCATAGTCATCGACGCTGCATTGATAAATACACCGCGTCGAGTGCGACCACCCGCCAGTTCTGTCGTTATGCCGCCGAAACCGTCTGCCAAAGGTGCGAAGAAGGCTGCCAAGAGCCAGAAGGCCAGCCGTAGCAGCGATAAGAAGAAGAAGCATCGCCGAAAGGAAAGCTATTCTGTCTACATCTATCGCGTTCTGAAACAAGTCCACCCTGATACTGGCGTCTCATCTAAGGCTATGTCTATTATGAATTCATTCGTCAACGATGTATTCGAACGTATTGCTGCTGAAGCTAGCCGTCTCGCCCAGTACAACAAACGATCCACCATCTCATCACGCGAGATTCAAACTGCTGTTCGTCTGATCCTGCCCGGAGAATTGGCAAAACACGCCGTGTCTGAAGGAACCAAGGCTGTGACAAAGTACACATCAAGCAAGTGATCATTTCAATGGTCTCATTTATTCGTCGTTTTCACTGTGTATTTATTATTGTTCACTATGTATGTATCCCACGTTGTTCTGCGGTCCACTAATAAAAAGGAGTTCGTAAAAATGTTCTGTTGTAGATGAGGAAGTATGGTTTTGGCAGAGTGCCAGGTTTATCAAATCGAATGTTAATGTGTTGTTCAGTATGATTCTTTTGTAGTCATCTGCAGAACATATCTGTGTGATGGAAAGTAATTTATTGATTGGGTTTCCATGGTGATTAAACTGCTTGTTTACTTGGAAAGGGGGGCTCAAAGGGTATTTGCATAGATATTTTCGAATTATCGGGTAATACCGAAGTATTAGCTGTTTCACTCTAACCATAACAGTGTCCAGGAAAGTGCTGTAGTACCTGAACGCATCTCGGAGACGAAACTACAGTCCTTGACTACCGGACTGTGTATGCAAAGTTGTGGAAGACTCTCCTCAAGTATAACATAACAGGGAAGTTCTATGTGGCAAGGTATAGCCGAATATATGAATCCGCCTTCTTGTGAGGTGGGCTTCCTGCAGGAACGCTTTTCGGTAGAGTGAGGAACGGTTGTGTGAGTTCGGGAGACGAAGGACCCATCTGTTCAGGTAGCTCGTGCAAATGTTTTCATAATAGACAGTACACGCCGTACGTTGGGGTTTCAGCGGAGGATCGTAGTTTGCTCGCTAAAAGGGGTAAGGGTCTTATTTGGCCTCGGGAGATGCTATTGAGTGGAATTCTCTTGGCTTTTCCTGTTTGCGAGTGTGCGGCTCCTACCCTCGGCCTCTGATCCTTCACCCGCTTCGGTTCGATCGGCAGCTTTTAAATGGAGGATTTTCAGGAAAAGAAGGTATCGGGTAGTTGAAGGATTTAGAAAGAATGTGAGTGGTTATGGAGTGGGATACGGGGAGGGGAAGGGGACGTACAGAAGGGAGGAACTTTGAGGAGAGTCGGTATTTGCCAGTATAGTCGTCAGCAGCAGCACGTGCCCGGATAAATGAGCTGGGATTATAAGGATTAGAGCCCTAGCCCTATATGGGGGCATGTTGGCATCCATGAGGAGAGCTATTCCAATAGGTTATGAGCATTTGGGCACACGGTATTCAACCCTATTCCTTCATTGTATGAGAGCGTTAGGGAACGATGGGATGTGAGCCACTGAGGAGGATCATGATGAATTTCGCCCATCCTAGGCGAGGGGTTCCGGATGGCCGAGTCCGTCAGCCACGCAGCCTAAATAGCGCTCCATTGGCCTCATTGTCGAAGTGATCATATGATTTGATGGAATCGTTTTCCCTTCGATTTTCGACTAACTTCTTGAACGGCAGTCGCAGAGCTACTTCAGTAGTTTCCGACTTCTGGAGCCACATTATATCGATTTGCCCCCCTCCCCTCGCCGTTCGGGACATGATATCACACTGCTGAATGAGATGCCGAATGTACTGGAGGCGAGGAGAAGCGAGAAATCAGTGCCGCAGAAGAGAGTTGCCAGGACGTCGCAGGGACCTGTTTGTGGGAACCAGCGCCCTAAGAACAGGTTCTCTTCTCTTTAGAGTTCGTTCCCTTTAATTTCGTTTGGCAGATTCCTGGACGAAAGATTCAGCTCGCTTTTCATGTCAAAGCTGCGGATCGGGACTGGCCTTTGTGGGGTCAAAGCTTCCCATAATGCTAGGATTTAGACGTCCCACATGCTGACCGACCAAGAAGAACGAACCAGAGGGGGGGGGGGGGTGACACAAGCGGAAGGGTTTTCTCACTGATACTTCGTGACGGCGTAAAGTACATCCGTTCGCGTGGCCAGCTGATGTAGCGTGCCAAGGGCAAGGGTTTTGCGCGGCGCCGACTCATATCCCCCGGTTACATCCTTTTTTCTTTTGGCAAGCAACAAGACCATATCCATGTTCAACAGCCTTTTTTCCACAGTTGCTGACGCGTTAGCTGCGCTTCGACAATTTGGTGCAGGACAGGCTGGCAGAAATAGATTCGCTGATGCGCACCCTTTCCGTAGGAACGAGACGTAATCTCGCAGAAATTTCATTCCAACAAAACTCGCGTCTCTACGTATGTCATCACCGACCCGGACTCCTGACCAGCAGCAGCTGGCCTTTTCGAGGCTGCTGCGATGAAAAGGCAGCGCTGCACGAACGGGCAATCGATGCGCCAAATTGCCATAGAAAAACTGTCCGCAGCCTGGCACAACTAGGCATAACCTTAAATTACCCCCTCTTTTGGCCTCCACACATCTCAAGGTACACACATTTATTGGATGAGATGCCAGTGAAAAACACATTACAAGTACAGTACACGATAAACAGGAATTAATGAACAAAATAATATAACTGATACAACGTATTATAAATTGCACAAGATTATCCTCCAAAACCGTATAGAGTACGTCCCTGACGTTTCAGAGCATAAACGACATCCATTGCAGTGACGGTCTTCCGTTTTGCATGTTCACAATAGGTGACAGCATCGCGAATAACATTTTCCAAGAATACTTTCAGCACTCCACGAGTTTCTTCGTAAATTAGACCTGAGATACGCTTCACACCACCTCGACGAGCAAGACGACGGATGGCTGGCTTGGTGATGCCTTGGATGTTGTCGCGAAGAACTTTGCGATGGCGCTTGGCACCTCCTTTGCCGAGTCCCTTTGCCACCTTTACCGCGTCCAGACATTTGAGAGCTTGAGACGAGCCAAAAGATGGAGAAAAATTGACGCCGAGCTTATATACGTGGCCACCGGGTCGCCACGCGGGGACACCACTGATCGATCGCTACGCGACCGCGACGCATCGCACTCGCCGATCGATTCGAGATGCCGCCCGTTCGGCCTTCATTTGCTGACTCGCGCGGGGCGAGGGGTCGGTCGTTTTTTCCTTTCCTGCATGCATTCGAGTGTTCACTGGCGCTTCATTGATTGTATCGACTGTTTCTTCCAAACTTGATTGAAAACTGTTTTTCGACTACCTTTAGGGCTGAATTATCAATAAAAATAAAACACTGGAAGTTCTTTTGATCTGTTTTTTTGCCCGTTATAACCTCTTCTCCTTGCTCTTGTTCTCCACGCCTAGAAGCCTTTCGGGGGGCGCGACTAATTGGGTCCACGCCCTAGTTTCTCATCGAGTTGAACATTCAGCATTTTCTCCAGGCACTTTTTGAACTTGTGGCGCCGGCTGGCATTACAGCCATTTCAATCAAACTAATTGCTTATCAAATAGTCTTCGAAAGAAAGTGCAAGATACCGCTCCTTGGAACTCGTTTTCTCATTCATTGTAAATGATTACAACCCTACTTGATGCCTTTCAAATCTTTGTCTCTGGCCTCTCCCCAAGAGCAGGTCGTGTCGATTTCCAATCACAGCAACATTTCATTTTCAAGCGTTTTTCAGACAATGGTCAAGGATCTGGTGGTCAAGTGCAGAGGTCTGCCCTACTCCTGTACTGAGGCTCAGTTAAGGAAATTTTTCGGAGGTGAGCTACATTTTACCACAAGCATGTCCCGAACTTGCGCAGTCGAGCAGTCTAAAACAGAAGAAAGATTGGGACGTCAGCCAACTGCTTTGTTGCACCGTCCCGAAGTTTTGGGCATGCTGCGGCAGATCGATAAATGGGAAGAAGCAGCGCCAGGGCTGAGTGACCTTAACCCGTCTTTTCTATCAGCTCTCATCAAGATTGATACCAGTGATATGGACCGCCCCTTCTGCTACTGTATTCAAAACCGCCGAGTGCGAGAGGATAGATAAATTGGCTAAAGGAAAAATTGGAGTGGGTACTGCTGTCTCGGAAGGACACTTTCGTGCGGCCCAGGAATTGCCACCCGATGACCCCCCCCCGGAATTATCGCAAATTTGAGGACTATGGCCTGCGTATTGCGCCGCTCCAGAGTCTGAAAATAGAAGTGTGATGCACGTTTCACCCATAGACTCAGCTGCTTGATGTTACCGACGCGCATTGTGTGCGCGCCCACGAGGGTGGCTCCTGCAGTGACCTAAGTTACGGTAGCGGCGGTTCACCTGCGAATCAGTCATGTCTTATAGAGATATGATAGATATATAACATAGTAATATTGCACTTTAAAGGTCACACTATGAACGGTTAGGGTCATTCCACTGCGAAGCGAGGGATGGAAACGCTTCAAGGTCATCATTGGAGAGGAAATCGGCACCCGATGATTACCTATACAAGGAAAATATCACGGCGGCAGCATAATGACACAGTATTCTGATCCGAGCAATCGCGGTAGCACCAACAGATTACAACCCGAGGGTGATGAGTGTCACGATCTTATCGTGTACGCAGAGCGAGCATGCAATAAACGACAGCGGCTGCCATGGCATCGGGAGGTGCGAACGGACATCTGTCGTCCCGCCTATTCAATGGACAACGGGTCCGAAGTGGGTGAGTCCTGGTCACACGATGAATGTTGGGATGAGCAGGGTCATGTTGGCCTCAGAACCCCATGTAATGAGAGGTAAGCCGACGAGAATTGTAATTATTCATGGCATTTAGTTCACGCTGTTCGTGGATCCTAAAGCTGTCGTCGGTGTGGCGTATATTAGATTAGGGATTATATGAGACAGATGGTACAGCATTGTATTCCCGCTCGAGGGATGCTGTGCTGGGTCAGTAGCGCCAAATTTACGGTGCTAACGAGTCGCGCTGTGGGGTGAGGGATGTAACAATTCCCCTAATCAAATAGGGTTGACTGGAGGACTGCCTGCTGATTTTTTTAACACGTTGACGACGAGCCATTTTTTCCATGACTTGCGCCTGGGACGGCACATTTTTCTACACTGAAACTTAGTAATTTCCGAATAAATGAATCTCTGACACAATTTAGCTCTTATTGCTCCAATCTTCCAAAATCAGGCCATTTTTACCAAATTCTTCCTCTGGAGACAGAATTGACTGAAAATTTGTCTCCCGGGGTGGTTTGATCTCCTAAAGAACAATATCGCATCCCTCGACCCGAAAATGTTTGTTCTTGAACTAATTTTATGAAAAGAAAGTGAAACAATCGCGCAGAGTCATGTAATAGACAGCATTGGGCGACGCCGTTCCACAAGACAAACTTTCTGTCGTCCACCATTGACGGAAATCGTCGTCAACGCGTTAAGTGGACATGATATTTTTGTTGAGGGGGTCGGTTCACCGGTAGGGACAAGTTTTCAGGGAATTTGATGATCTATAGGACATTTTGGGGCTAGGCAGTTTTGTGGCAAGCGATTGTGATATTTGTGTTCAGGGGTCAAGCTAACCCACGAGACAAGTTTTCAACGATTTTGGTGACCTGAAGTATTTTGGCGCCGGGCATTTTCGCGGGAAACGAATGTGATATTCGTGTTCAGGCGTTCAATACCCACGAAACAAGTTTTCAGCGCTTTTGGTGACCTAAGGTATTTTGGCGCCGGCGCCTGTGACGGGGGCGCGGGCAGTCCGGGCCAAACCACTGTTGCTGTTCGTTTCCGAATTTTCAGCCTACTCCTATAGACATCTTTTGAACAAATTTGGTTGCTCGCACGTCTTTATTATTAGAGCAGTATGCTGTCGGACAGCATTGTCCGACACCGTCCCATGAGACAGACTGGCTGTCGCCCACCATTGTCCGACACCGTCGTCAACGTGTTAAAGACAATTGTCCCGCAATCGAGTGCTACGGGTAGTAGATGCTCAATTATGAACGAGTAGCTAATAAGTAACCATCCAGTAAAGAAAGAAGCGAATAAAAGCTCCTTTGGACACCCTGAAAAGAGACCCCCTCCCCTCAGCAGCGGCGCGAGCACCTTGGACGAGTTCATCATGAGGACAAGCGCAATCAAGGATCCCACGTGCAACGGATTCTCGCTACGAGCGTATGAAATCGTCCCAACGACGCTGCAGGCGACGGTGCGTACATACGTACAACTACTACGGATGAGACAAAAACTTCACATCATCAGCAGATGCTCTGATGTGAAGACTTTCGTTGTTCCCTTCACTCCTTCTAGCGCTTGATTCAAGATTATCGATACGGGCTGAGCCTGGTTAGATCTGAGAAGGGAGGGGGCGTCGGCCTGAATGTGTAAGGAAAAGATAATTCACATAGTAGTTGCAAATGCTAAATGAGCCTAATTGAGAACATTGTGGCATTTTGAGCTAGAGTTCGCTTCAAAATATCTCGTTTTAGATTCCGGTATCAGCAAACTG